GTCCCCGTGCGGCCAGTCCCTCGAGTTAATTCACCCCCTCGCCACGTGGGCCGAGGCCTGGCAGGCCATCCCCGGAGTGTCGAGATGGGTTATGGGGATAATAAAACGAGGATATTCACTCCAGCTCGCTCGAAGACCCCCGCACTTCAGCGGTGTGGTCCCCACCTTAGTGCAAAGCAAGGACGCTCACGTCCTGCGCTCAGAGGTGATGAATCTGCTGGCAAAAGGTGCTGTAGAAAAGGTTCCTCCAACCCAGAGCGAGTCAGGCTTTTACAGCCGTTACTTCCTCGTCCCCAAAAAAGATGGTGGCCTCCGGCCCATCCTCGCCGCCTGAATCACGCCCTCATGAAAAGGTCGTTCAGGATGACTACACTGAAACAGATCCATGCGCAAATTCGCTCAGGAGACTGTTTTTTTTCTCTGGACCTGAAGGATGCATACTTTCACATCCAGATAGCCCCCCGTCACAGGCGATTCTTGAGATTCGCATTCGAGGGAGTGGCTTATCTATACACGGTCCTTCCCTTCGGGCTGTCCCTGGCCCCCCGCACTTTTACGAAGCGTATGGACGCAGCTCTCTCCCCTCTGAGACAGATGGGAATCCGCATTCTCAACTACCTCAACAACTGGCTCGTTCTGGCCCAGTCGGAGGCAGAGCTAATATCACACAGGACCCTCCTCCTCAGCCATCTGGAGTGCCTGGGACTCAGGGTCAATTTTGCCAAGAGCACGTTGTCCCCCAGCCAGCGAATATCGTTCCTTAGAACAATTTTAGTCGCGCCAGAACGGGCTCTGGCCATACGGAGGCTGGCGACCTCCTTTGAGATTGGTACCACACGCTCTCTCAAAACGTTTCAGAGGATGCTGGGCCTAATTGAAACCACGAGTTCCATCCCATGCGTGGCATCACGGACAGGTTGTTGTTAACTTCTCTATGGGCATTGGTTGCTTATGGAAGTTATGATAGTTTTAGTCGTTCCACTACATTAGCACGGCGTGATTGTACTGTGTTCCCATAGCGTCTTAGCAGACACAGTATGAGTGTAGTATCGAAAGGGAACGTACTCTCACGCCTCCAACTCAGGTTGGGGGGCGCTGTGCGAGGGCATACCGACTTTCGGCCACTGATAACTTCCTCTTGAGTTATCCAAGAGAGTTATCCTCTTGGGCATGGTCCAGTGGTGTGTCCATTGCGGATATTTGTGAGGCGGCCGGCTGGGCCTCGCCGTCCACATTTGCAAGGTTTTATAACCTGGAAGTCCCGGCCTTGCAGGCCAGGATCCCTTCCGCTTGAAGAGAAACACGCTGCGTCGTATCTCAGGGAACCGAGGTTACGTTAGTAACCGAGTATGTTTCATTAATTATTTAGAAATCAATGGATTACTGATAATTGTGTGTATTTTATTGATACAATCCGTTCTATATCAGGTCTGGCCTTTCTAATACGCAAAGAAAAAAATCCAGACATTACTACATCATATGTCCATTGTGTGACTCAGGGCTTTTTCTTTTGTTATAGGGAGGTGTGTTCCCCTGGTACTGTTTCTTTATTCATGCTTACCACACAACAAGTGCTGACAACGGGTGAACACACGCACATACACCACAACGGCCAAAGTACATGTGAGCTCAGACAAAGCCTTGTGCTGAATTTCTTTTCTCTTTTCGTGTTCGCAGGCGTTCAGAAGACTATTGAGAGGAGATTTCAGCCGGACAGAAGAGTGAGCTCTTTCAGCTGTTTCTATATTGTTCGGTGAAGACAGCACTCAGGTGAGCCATCGGTACGTAATTTGTGTTTTTGTGTCTTTTTTAAATGGATCTAGTTGGAGGTTGAAGGTTAAAGACAGGTTAAGGATTAAACATACTGTAGATAAGTGACCAGATGCACGTACACTGACACAAGGAGCACATGGTTTAGGTGTGCAATGCTGAAAGTGAAGGTGGGTGAATCTGATCTGGTGTGAAATTAACCACACCTGTATGTGAAGTATAAGGTTATATTTATTTTGCAATAAATGGACAATAAAGCTTTGCTTGAAGTGGAGAATTGGTAGGTTTGGAAGCAGGTATTTATACTGAGATGTAAATAGAAACGAGAAGCAAAGTCCTCTCTGTCTCTTTATGTGTTGTCAATAGGTGTGTCCACTTATTTCAGGTCAGCTCACAAAAGAATAGTTCTGATTGGTCTAATATTGAGTCTTACTTCAGTTCAATTGATCTGTTTTACCTTATCACATGGCAAGGGTCAGACAATGTCACTTAAGAGCCCCATAGGCTGTCATGTGTTTACGTATTAGAAGCTGTGTGGTCTTGCGCACTACATGTGTTTGTGGGTCAGAAAATAAGTAGGGAACTGAGGCAAAAATGGCAGAAAAAAGGAACTGTAATTTGATTGAACTTTGTAAAGCATTATTTTTGACTCTGGTTAGGCATACATGTATTGCAATTTGCAAAGTAGTAGGCTATTATTATGAACTGTTTTTATCTTCTCAGAGGAAAAGAAATACTGAATAAAAAGAATAGAGGAAGCGTCCTTGGTGTGAAAGAGAATGTGTCAGAGCAAAAGCAGATTTATATCTTGTGACTCTGAGTCCTTGATGAAGGAACTGTTGCTGCTTAATCAGGCTGTGGTTTCAGTTTCCTTTATGCATGGATTTTTAGATACAGAAAATACTTTTTGGTTTCTTTATGAGACCTTGTTTGTGTTCTTTCTGATTCCCTGAAGTCACTTTGTGAAGTATCTTCTTTTTTATTTATTTATTTGTTCTACTTTTCCAATGTCCGTCATACTCTCCCGGTTGAAAAGTTTGGGGTCAACATTTTTTAAGTAAAAAAAAAAAACTTTTTTGAGCAAGGATGCATTAAATTACTTAAAAAGGGACAGATGTTCAGATAAAAAAGGACATTTATGTTGTTAGACATAATTTTATTTCTTTTAATAAAAGAATACTGTAAATATGTATCATTGTTTCCACAAAAATATTAAGTAGCACAACTGTTTTCAACACTGATAATAATAAGAAATGTTTCTTGAGCATCAAATCAACATATTATAATAATGTTTGAAGGATTATGTGACACTGAAGTGAAGCGTGAAGTAATGATGCTGGAAATTCAGCTTTTCCATCACAGGAATAAATTATATTTTAAAATATATTTAAATAGAAAACAGATATTTTAAATTGCAGTAATATTTCTCAGTTTTACTTAAAGGGGTCATATGATGAGATTTAAATTTTTCCTTTCAATAATGTACAGTATGTGGAAAATAATGTGTTTTTTTAACCTTAAACCGCATATACACATTTCATTACACCAAATACACAAAATAATGTTCTTTTTAGAAACATCATATGACCCCTTTAATATATTTTTGATGTGAATTCCACCTTTTTGAGCATAATAATTTTTTTTCTCAAAACCTTTTTAATTGATAGTTTATAGATTGTATTGTTTTAGCCTTTAAACTTCATCATACAACTATCATTAATAGCAGTAATATTTTAAAAACTATGAACTAATAATAACTAAGTTTGATATTTATTTTATGAACATGATTTACATATTTGTGTTCTTGTGGCATGCTTGAGATTGAATATGAGACTTGATGTGTGAAGAAAAATCAAGTTAACTATAATTTAGGTTTTTTAGCTCATCATTTCCAGTCAAGTTGTAATTTTGCCAAATTATGCAAAAAAAAAAATTGACCTCTTAACAAAGGAGATGACCATTTTATTACAGACGTTATGAAAATATAATTTCCACCATCAGCATTTCCACTACAGAACACTACTACACACATGGCTTTCATAAAATGACTGAAGTGTCAGATTTCTCTTGTAATGTATTTATGTTCACTGCATGCATGTAGAGTGTTACTATAATTAATTTACATGCATTAAAACTAGTGAGTGTGAAAAGTGTGTATTAAGAGTGTATTCAAGACTAATACATTTGATAAAAATGATGTGTTAGAGAACCTACAGATTATTTCATATATTAAAGTCACATTTTAACTTAAAGATTTATATGCAAATCAAATGATGCAAACAGTTCTGCATGTCTAATTGTAAGTGTCCAAATGTTAGACAAAGCCCTACTGTTACTGTATGTTGGCTGTAAATTCAACCAGTGCAGATCTTTCATGGATCCTTGCAGATTTGCTCATCTCTACATGCCAAAACAAATGCTTTCAAAGAGCCTGCACATTATTGAACTGAAGGCAGTCTCATCCTCTCTGCAGATCTCCTCCCATGAGGGAACACTATCGTGATGGCAGAGGGATCTGGATTTGACCTGGACTACATTACGGAGCGTATCATTGGCATCACCTTCCACCAGTCCTGCACAGAGCAGACGTACCAGCACAACCTGCGCAGCATCACGCAGATGCTGCAGTCCAAACATGCGGATCGATACATGGTGAGCAGACAAGAAAAACAAACAAATCATTGTGTGTGTTTGTTGACTGATAGTAGACTGTTGCTATTGGAGTCACATGGAACAAAACCTTTATTTTCCTGCATGCAGGTCATTAACTTATCCGAACACAGTGATGATCTCAGAAGGATGAATCACAGGGTAAAGTTAAACTGTGTGTCATGTGACTGTTAAAGATGTGTAATGGTATGCATACTTCCATTCAAAAGTTTGGGGTTGATAAGATTTGTAATGTTTTTGAAATAAGTCTCTTATGTTCTCCAATTCTGCATTCATTTGATCCAAAAAAAAAAAATGATCAAAAAATAGTAATATTGAGAAATATTATTATACAAATACCATTACAATATTGAATATTATAGTATTATTTTATTTTAAAATAATACTGTAATATATTTTAAAATGTAATTTATTCCGGTGATGGAAAAGCTGATAATTTGCTGCTCATGAAACATTTCTTATTATGAATCTTGAAAAGTGCTTAATATTAGTTTGTGGCAATCATGGTACATTTAGTCAGGATTCTTTGACGAATATAAGTTCAAAAGAACAGCATTTATTTGAAATAGAATTATTTGGTAAAATTATAAATGTCTTTACACTTTTGAGACTGACACATTTAATGCAGCCTTGCTGAATAAAATGATTCATTTCTTAAAAAGAAACTGACCACAAACTTTTGAATGGAAGTATGTGTTTAACTGTTACCTCACATTTCTGACTGTTAGGTGGTGGATTTGGGATGGCTGGAACGACAAGCTCCATCGCTCCATCTGCTGTGTTCAGTGTGTAAAAACATGGACAATTGGCTTAGGGCACACTCTGAAAACGTGCTGCTGCTACACTGCAAAGTGAGATTTAAAGATATTTGCTGTTCATTCTCAGGTTTAAAGTCCACTATCTGTCTCTGGGACTTTGAGCCCGTCCTGTAGGAATGTCACGGTTGGTTAACTTCTTCCTGTGTCTCTCATAGGGCAGCAAAGACAGAGTGGGTGTGGTAATATCCTCTTACATCCAGCTATCTAATGTTTCCACCAGGTACTACTCAACTATTCATATTCATTGTTAACAAGTTAAAAAGCTCTTTAAAAAGACGACTGCCATCTCAGACAAGCTGCTTAATGAGATTTTGGTTCTATTTTGGTTCTATTTACTCACCCTCATGTCATTCTAAACCTGTGTGAGTTTCTGTGTGATTACAATAAATGGCCACTGGCGCGTTCAAGCTTCGAAATAGACCATAAAAATAGTCCTTTTGATTATGCACTATATTTCAAGTTTTCAGAATTCATATGATAGCTATGTGTAAGGAACAGATTCAAATTTAAGTCACGAATTTCTGAAAATATAATCATAAGCAACGTCCAGTTTTTGAACAAATCATTTTTTGATTTGGATCTTTTCAGTCAATTGATTGAGCTAGTTCACAAATCCAGTCTGAATGATTTGTTCAGTGATCCGGTTGCAGAGATTCTCAAGTTAAAAACTCACTGGACCATATTATAAGAGCATTTGTTTCTTGTAATTACTCATTTGGAGGAGAGAAAGTCATATGCATTTGGAACAACATGACAGAACATTGATTTTTGGATGAACTGTTCCTTTAAGACCTTTAAAGGGATTGTTCACTCAAAAATGAGCATTTTATCATCATTTGCCCACCCTCATATTGTTCCAAACCTGTAAGTTTCTGCTGTAACATGATAATGTCTGATATTAATCTTAGCTTCATCTGGCATAATTTCAAAAATCTGTATTTAAATATATAAAAGCATTGTAAATTGATTGTGAACTGCATGTTGTGGTATGTACTGTGTGTTAAATGATTGCATAATTGACCAAACAAAAAGATTTGTTTATACTTTCATTTGTGTCTTTCAGTGAGGAACATGCATTAGATCTCTACTCCATGAAGAAGTTCTGCAGTGATAAAATGGTTAACCTTATGACTCCATCTCAGAAAAGGCCAGGATCATTTGTTTATGCATTAACTTTCTTTTTCCTTGTGTTCCTGTTGCTTTTCACCTGGAAGCATACTGAGCTGTTGGTGCTGTTATATCTTTTTCCATCCCTTATGTTCTCCTATCTCTATTGACTCTAAAAACACTTTTTGGAAGATGAGTTATTGTAAAGCTTCGAAAATGGCAACATAAATATTCTTCTCTGATCTGTTGCTGGAACAACACAAAGAAGCTGTTTTTGGCAGCACGATAAAGAAGCTATTTATTCTCTTTGATAGTAAGGCGCACCCAGAATAGCACTAAATCAATGGAGAAATGTCAACAAATGTGATTTTTTATTTCAGCTTTCAGAATCAGTAACACTTTTCTTTGGAACCTTGTTTCCACAACAGACCTTTTCCCATCTCAGTTCTAAGTTTACAGTATATCTTGCAAATGTAAATTTATATCTAGCAATTCTTTTTCTCAGAACTGTAGCGCCTCAGTTCAAGTGGCACGTGAACCGATCATCTCTTCCTCTTTACTAGTTATAGCACAAAATAAACATGAATGAACATCAGAAGGTATCTTCTTTCAACTGCAGAAAGATGTCAATATACACAATTTTTCAAGTTCAAGTCCACCAACGTTAATCTATTCTCCTGTCTGGTTTGTTTGTCGGACAAAATGGCAGAATCGGCATTATGATTGGTCAGATTGCCATTGTCATTCAAACTCCTGAGAGGCAATTGCTTGTTAACACGCAATTCTAAGAAGAACTGTAAGAAAAAAAAAACAGAATTATAAGATAAAAATTCAGACTTGACTTTTTTCCCCCATGGTGGAAACAAAAAACAGAATTGCGAAATGTAAAATTGGGGGACATAAACTCAAAATTGCGAAATGTTTACTCACAGTTATGAGTTTATAAAGTTTATAAAAAGTCAGAATTATAAGACGTAAACTCAGAATTCCAAGAAAAAAGTAAGACTTTATATCGCAATTTTGACTTTTCCTCATAATTCTGAGTTTATATTTCACAGTTCTAAGAATTTTGAGAAAACAAGACAGAATTTTGGGATAAAAAGTTGGAATTGCCTTTTTAATTCATTTATTTATTTTTAATCATGTGGTGGAAACGGGCGCCCATACTTTTCACACCTTTGGCTAGTTTATTGGAAATATTCATGCATTCTTTCTTCCCCCTAAATCCCTTTGTTTTAAAATGCTGATAATTGCCAAATTAAACCAGGTTGATTCATCTTTGTACTGTTTTATTATTTACATCATCTGAAGTTGAGCTGGTGTTCTGAGGCCTGATTTATTATTGTCTTGTGTCAATATGAGTGACAGAGGTGTTTGTGGATGTTTCAGGTATGTGCAGGTGTTTGGCAGACTCCTTACCCATCAGATCCGCATAAACTCTTCCCCGCTTTTCATCCATGGCATTAATATCCATCCCATTCCTGACTTCCACCCTACAGGTGATGAAAACACCCATATGTCGTTCATCCAGTCTTTTAACTATTAAGTGAAATAGTGTTTTTAGTTTCCAAACAATTTTAAGAGTTTGTCATCCAATTTATTATCTTAATTATTTCTCTTGTACATTAATAGAGAACAGATCTTTCTCAGAATCTCTCAGTTCTCCAATTTGTCTCCTAAGAAAAATACTTCAGTAATCTTACTTAAATATTAGTTCACCCAAAAATGAAGGTTCTGTCATCTTACTCTCATTTCTTTCTTTTGTGTAACACAAATGAAGGTAATGTATTTTGGGGAATGTTGGTAACCGAACTGTTTTGGTGATCATTGACTTCCATTGTATGAAAAAAAGTTGTATATGTAACCTAGATTTATAAATTCTGTAAAAGTATTTCTGTATCAGATTCTTTCAAAACCATTTTATCTAAGCTATGACCTCCATGTTAAATTTACAGTTCTTAATTTACAATATGCCATCTGTATTTAGTTGACTATTTTCCATCATTATTTTAACTAAGGAAGTCGAAAAGCAACATCTGAGACCAAGTTGATACTTGAGATCTCTATTATGTGAACTATAACAAAAAGGTAATACAAATTTCCTCTGGGTTTGTTTGTTTTCAGTGTGTCAGCTGTTTATCAGAGTGTATCAAGACACACAGACAGTTTACACATCAGGAGTGCAGTAAGACACCAGATATTATATGAATATAATATAAAGTACTTTTGTAAAATTCTGAATATATCATCATGTTTATTTATGCATTTATAGTATGTGTATATTTAGTGCTTGTGTATAACTCTCAGTCAGGTTGCTGTAGGTCAGACAGACCGAGTGTGTTTTGCTCTGGAACCCCCACAGATGCTTAAAGGTGATTTCATGGTGAGACATCTCTCTGTCTCCTACACACACACACACACACACACACACAGACAGACAGACAGACAGCACTAATCTTTTGAAAACGGCACACTGTATCATCTTCATTTCTTCTTTCTCTGCAGATTGCGTGCTATCATAAAAATGATTCCATGAGGACTCGCGAGACAGTGTTTGGTGTGCAGTTCCACACCGGCACTCTGTGTGGAGAACAACTTTCCTTGCAGAAAGAAGACCTTGATCATGCAAACAAAGGTACACAAAGTGTTTTTTGGTCAAATCTTTGCACTCAAAGTGTCCCAAAGGTTTTTGAAGATAAGAATCTACAAACGTATTTCCATTTGCAAAATAACAAACGAAATAATGTTTATTTTGTATCCAGAACAAACGCTTTTATCTTTTCAGATAAATCAATAGATATATTGTCCGAAATGTTGGCTTAAAGTATTTGAACCGTAAATCTGGTTGACGGATGTTATTGGAAAATGTTCACAGTTAATGTGATGAACTATGGCTGTGATTTATTCTGCTAGGACACCGGTGTGAACCTGAGAAACTGACTTGGTTTTCTTTAAATATGGAGCAAATGGACCAGGGTTATTATAGTAAATTGAAACTAAAACTTAAAACAAGAAAAAAAAATTCTTTACTTGGAGAAAAAAAAAACCTTTAACTGAAATAAAACAAAATATCAAATCTTAAACCTATATATAAATCTTAAACCTATAGCTAGTTGCTAAGGTGGCAGTTCTCATTTTCATTCAGTTTATGTACTAAAATTAAAACAAAAACTGAAAAAATATAAAATTCTTTACTTGGAGAAAAAAAAAACCTTTAACTGAAATAAAACAAAATATCAAATCTTAAACCTATATTATTTCAGCTAGTTGCTAAGGTGGCAGTTCTCATTTTCATTTAGTTTATGTACTAAAATTAAAACTAAAACTGAAAAAAATAAAATAAAATGATATCAAAATGAATAATAAAACCAAAAAATGGCAAAAACAGCAATTCTGGAAAATTTGAACTAAAATTTAAATATTAATAAAAACTATTATAGTGTCTCCGTGATACTAAAATAACACTGAAATGGACTGAATACAATCAGACCTTCTGAACTGTAAATGGTCTGCAAGGTAATTCTTTTAAGAGTTATAAGGAATTAGCTCCCCATGTTATATTGTATATCATTAAATAATGGGGAAAATACAAAGCATCTGTGAAATTAAAGAATTTTGTTTGCTGGATTGATGGCAGATATATGTGAACAATTTTGTATCCGTATTAATGTTTTTGTTTTGTAGAAATAATACCTTCGTACTTCAGAAATTCATACTTTTTGGGGCCAACATACTTCATTGTTTTTAGTACAAGTTTGTTTTTCCTAGTGTATGAGCGTGTGCGTGACTGAGCATGTGAGCAAGTGCCGAGTGTTTTTGGTAAATAATGACGCACGGTGACCCAAGCAGATCTAAGAAAGAGACAGACAACTTAACTCTTTACACAAACACTTCATTTTGCTCCTTACGCAATGGGAAGCCTTAATGGGAAGCCTTACTCAACTGTAATTTTGGATGGACAGAAGCGATAACTGTCACATTGCTCTTACAAGTCACCGACAAATCAGCTGTCATTGAACTTGTGTGTGTTGATGTTCCCACATTGCTGTGCAGTGTAGTTTTTTCCATGCCTTTCATCCCTTTCAGTCATCATTTGCTCTTGTCTCCATTCAAGACCCAAGATTCCCAGAGGACGGTGTGGTGGAGCTGCTCTTTTCAGAAATTGTCGACAGAGACCCATCCCTTGCTTCAGGTATCCTCACATTTCTCTGAAAAGAAAGGTGTTTTATGTGGATTATTCACTATGGCTGGTTCAGGTAGAAATTAATTTAGTTATGAATTAACACTGTCTGTGTTTCTCCATTTTAAGATTGTGGCCACTGGAGGAACCGTTCAGCAGTTGTCACTGAAAATGACCCTCTGGATTCACTACAGGCTCAGTGGGACTTCACTGAAAATCTTACAGCAGCAGGTAAGACTGGACTTCTCAAGCTCTTTATAATGTCTCCAATACTGGTCTTGAATAGAACTAGAATAGAAAAGTTTTTTTTTTTGGAAGAAATACCTTTTATTCAGCAAGGACACATTAAATCATTCAAAAGTGATAGTAAAGGCATTTATAATGTAACAGAATGTTTCTACTTCAAATAATCCTGCTCTTTTAAAACTTTCTATTCATTAAAAAAAAAACTGAAAAAATCTATAATAGTTTCTTTTAACAGTGACACTAATAAGAAATGTTTCTTGAGCACCAAATCAGTATATTAGATAAAAGATTACATTTTAAAATATATATATAAAATAAAAGACAGCTCTTTTTAATAATACATTGTTAATAATTATTATATTATATATTATAATATTATTACGTAGTACTAATATATAATAGAATAATAATTCCAATAATATAATAATATTTTTGTCAAATAAATACAGCCTTAAAAATAAAAGTCTTGTTTCAGGGTTTCCGCGGGGTCTTAAAAAGTCTTAAATTTAGTTGTATCAGATTTAAGGCCTTAAAAAGTCGTAAATTGTACAAGAAAGCCTTAATTATGATTTCAAGAGGTCTTAAATTTGGGGACGGAAAGACCAGAATTGCGATATGGCTGAATGTGACGATTAAACTTCAAAAGGCTAACGTTATGATTTCATGAAATAAACACAAGTGCTGCACGTTCAAAGTCCAGTGCTGCGCTGCTTTGTCTACAGCGTTACCGGGGAAACAGTTGTATTTCTACCAAACGCTCCACCTGCTGGCAGAGAATGAATGAGCATTTTCAATAAAACTGTTGTTTTGTTCAGAGCAGGGGCGGACTTACCCATTAGGCAAAGGTAGGCGAATAACAAAATGGAACCTCAAGGTTGATCTAGGAAAATGTGTGCAAATGTATAGGGCCCCATTCCTATATTTTGCCTGGGGCCCCCAATTCACTAAATCCGCCCCTGGTTCAGAGTTCAGACCAATGCGAAAATCGACCCATGTTTTTACCCTGCAAACGCGCAGAGCTTTAAATGTGAACTGGTGGATCGATAAGAAGACAATGCATTATAAAAATCTAAACATAGGGGTGTGCTATATGTATGGTCTGCGATAATATTGTAATTGTTGTTTTAACAATGTGTGATTTGATATTATGAGTATATCACGAAAAGCAAACACAAAGCACACCTACAGAGTGCACGCATACAGATTAGGTGATGAAGTCTAGCAGGTTAGACTAGTGCGCGTGCGCATTTAG